AATTTGACGCTCAATAGGTTTGAATAATAATTTTGGACTTAGGCGTATGTTCAGATCGCGTATTGGATGAAAATGGAGCGTTTCGGTGCATAAAGTTGAAAGTTGGCGCATTAAAGGTTTTAAAGTTCTTCAAATTTGGTTTGGAGTAGGTTTTGGTGTTATCGAGGTCTGTTTGGAATTTTGAGTTTGGGAATAGTTCCGTATTGTGATTTAGGACTTGCACACGTGTCATTCCGAGTAGTTTAAGTATGATTCGACGCCTTCAGAGTAAGTTGGAAGTATTCGAAGTTCATAAGTTGATTCTATTTGGTTTTGGGTTGTAATCTTTAGTTTTAATGTTGTTTTCCGCATTCCGAGAGTGCAAGCGAGTCCGTTTTATGTTTATGAACTTGTTGGTATATTTGGTCGAGGCCTCGGGGCCCCCATACAGGATTTGGAAAAGCGGAATCGCTGGAGGCAGTGAGGTCTTTTAATGTCGGGACTTACTCCATTTTGGTTCATTTATTTCACTTCTTGGGCGATTTTTGGAGCTTCTTACAGAGAAGTTTTCACCTAACTATTGAAGGTAAGTAATTTCTATCCAATATAAGTTAAATATATAGATTATGGGTAGATTTTAACATGAAAACTTGTGAAAATTATTGGTTTAGTTGAAAAACCTAGGTTTTGATTAAAATGGGATTTAACAATGAAAATGATTATGGAATTAGGTAAAAATTATATATTTGAGTTCATGAGGTTATGGGTAAATTTATCTTAGAAAATTTTTGGAATCCGGGCACGTGGTTTCAGGGGTGAATATTAGGAATCTTCCAATTTGGGTTGGGTAATTACTCTAATAGTTAAATTATGAACTTTTGAACATGTATTGATTAATTTATATAATATTTTGACTAGTTTCGGATTGTTCGACACCTAGTTGAGGCTTTAGAACGAATTTGTGGCCGGTAAGTGAGCTTTGAGATGAGGTAAGTCTATTACTTAACCTTGTAAGAGGGAATTTACCCCATATGTGATTGAAATTACTATTTTCTTCTATTTGTGGGGGACTGCGTACGCACGAGGTGACGAGAGTCCGTGCGTAGCTACTAATTATGCTTATGTCCGGGTAGTTTAGGACCCAAATTATAAAATACTTGTGATGTTTGCACCCTACTTGTTAATTAAAGTGCCTAATTTATATTGAAATTTGATAAAGGATTTGTTAGAGACCAAATTTCACTTACTTGTAATAGCTTTCAAATAAAATGTTCATAAAGTATCCTCTCTTATTATAGAGAGGGCCGAACGTCTCGGCAAAAGAATAGATGCATCTATGGTTCATGCCACTCGACCCTTGACAGTGTACACATTATTCTGGATCGGGCCATACGACCACGACATAAATCGTGCGTGATAATGCTCGGAGCCTAATTATATTTAATATTACTCTATGGTTTGAGAGGTTAAAATTATTAATGACAAAAGTTGACTTGGAGTTTACTATTAGTGAAAGAATAATTATTCGCTGCTTGTTATTAAGTTGCTGTTGTTGTTATTATTATTATTATTATTATTATTATTATTGACATAGCTCATGCTTATTTAGAATTTCTGTATTTTATTGTTAGCCCATAGTAAGTGTCAATGTCAGCCCCTCGTCACTACATCTTCGAGATTAGACTAGATACTTATTAGGTACATGTTTTTTGTGTACTCACGCAACACTTCTGCACTAATCGTGTCGGATCTGATGCAGGTGCATCTGGCAGTAATACCGGTGCGCACCCCCGTTACCCCGAGGCCTAGTGGTGAGCTGCTACTTGAGCCATTCTACAACACCTAGAGTCTCTCTTTTGCATCTAGTTTCTGTCTACTTTATTTCAGAAAATAGTTAGAGTTTTGTATATTCTACTAGTTGCCCATACACTTGTGACACCAGGTCTTGGAACACCTACTAGCAGAGTTTATGGTTTTGGAGTTTTTATTTCATTGCATTTGCTCATTCATTTGCCTTCGTTTTATTTTATTAAATTATCTACTCCTTAGTTTCCCTAATAAATGGAATTTAATTACTTGGAAACTTATTTAAAAGAGAAATCACATGGTCAGTTCACCGTTGGCTTGCCTAGCGGCAACGTTGGGCGCCATCACAACCTATAGGAGAAATTGGGTCATGACAATATTCTTGATCCTACCCTAAAAGAATCTCAAAAAATGCTAAATGAATTAAAGAGACTCAATAGGGAAAAGAAGGACTGGGAACTTAAACTTGAAGTCTTTAGAATCGAAAGGGATGTTCTTCAAGATGAGGTTCAATAGTTGAAAATGCAACTTATTGGCATACGCAAATCTACCAGTCACAATTGTATCAAGTCTAACCAAGCAACCTACAAGTCAACTGGAAAAGGACCTGTCAGAACGGAGTCCACAAGTACTAACACCAGTGGTAGATCAAAAACCGGATCAACCCTTATGTGCCATTTCTTAAACAAGGCTAGACATAAATATTCCTTCTATAGATTTTGTAAATCTAATGTTTCAGGATGTATTTGGAAATCCAAAAGCAGCCCTGATCCTAGTAGAACTAACCAACAAGGATCCAAGTAAGCTTGGGTACCTAAAAGAAGGTAATAATCTTTCTTTGTAGGAACACCACAGGAAAGGTCGAAAAGGAAAATGGTATCTCGACAGCCCATATTCCTGCCACATGACGGGCGACAAAAATCTCTTCAAAGAAGTCTCCAAAATCAGTGGAGGAAATAATAAGTTTGGTGATGACTCAAAAGGCAAAATTGTTGGTACCGAAACTGTTCCTTTTAACAATTACTGTGATATCATTGAAGTTTATCTTGTAGAAGGGCTAAACTACAATCTGCTAAGTATCAGTCAACTATGGGATTCTTGATATGAAGTGAAATTCAAGAAAACTAGGTGTGCCATTGAAGAGAAATCAGGTAAAATCATCATTCTAGTAAAGAGGTATGGAAATGTAGATATTTTAGATTACATTAATAATCTGGAAAGTCATATTTGTCTAGCATCCATCACTGATGATCCCTGACTTTGGCACAAAAAGCTTGGCCATGCTAGCATGCATTTGATTCAAAAACTATCCATGCATGATTTAGTTATTGGTCTTCCTAAGCTAAACTACTTTAGAAATCATGTATGTGATGCATGTCAGCTTGGTAAGCAAACTAGAGACTCTTTCAAACCTAAGCATATAGTTTCCACTAGCAAACTTCTTCAGGTACTTCATATGGATTTGTTTGGACATATTAGAATTACTAGCATAGGAGGAAAAAGGTATGCTTTTGTTATTGTTGATGACTACTCACATTTTACATGTGTGATATTTCTGGCTCACAAATATGAAGCTCTAAAGAACTTTGAGATTTTTTGCGAAAGGATAGAAAGAGAAAAGAGGTACCTTATCTCAACTGTTCAGAGTGATTATAGAGGTGAATTTGAAAGCTTATCATTTGAGGAATTCTGCAATAACCAAGGATACACTCATAACTTCTCAGCACCAAGGTCACTACAACAGAATGGAGTGGTTGAACGTAAAAATAGAACCTTGTAGAATATGGCCAGAACCATGATACTGGAGCACTCCCTACCAAACCACTTTTGGGCAGAAGCAGTCAGCACATCATGTCATATTCTTAATAGGTGCTTAATTCGACCTATTCTGAAGAAGACTCCATATGAACTATGGAAAGGTAAGAGACCTAACATTGGATACTTTCATCATTTTGGAAGCAAATATTTTGTCCATAATAATGATAAGGACAATCTTGGTAAGTTTGATCCAAGAAGTGATGAAGGTATATTTCTTGGTTACTCTAATGATAGTAGATCTTTTAGAATATATAATAAGCGTACTTTATGTGTAGAAGAATCAGTCCATGTTATTTCTTATGATAATAATTCTATGGCTGAGAAAGGAGATCTTGCAGGTGATGAAGAGATCAGTCAAAATCAACCTAAGATCAGTGAACAAATAAATCCAAAAGAATCTGCTGACAGTGGAAATGAAATCCCACAGTCGACTAATGAAGATATATGTGAGCATGCCAAATCTCAGACTGAGTCAACTAATTAACATACTGATGCAGTACCAAACAAATAGAAAAGCAAACCTGAATATCCTCAAAAGTTTATCATATGAATCCAACTTATGGAATGAAAACAAGAGGAGATCTACATAAAAAGGCTAACATTGCACTCATATCTCAAATAGAGCCAAAGAAAGTTGACGAAGCTTTAAAAGATTCAATTTGGGTATAAGCTATGCAAGAAGAACTTGACCAGTTTGATAAAAATCAAGTTTAGACATTGGTACTCAAGCTAGCAAACACAACAATTATAGGAACAAAATGGGTATTCAGAAACAAACTAAACGAAGAAGGTAAAGTTGTCCGAAACAAAGCAGGGTTAGTCGCTCAAGGCAACTCTCAACAAGAAGGAGTCAACTATGATAAAACTTTTGTTCCGTTAGCACGGTTAGAATTAATTCATATTTTGCTAGCATATGCTTTCTTTAAAGGTTCTAAATTATTTCAAATTGATGTTAAAATTGCGTTTTAAAATGGCTTTACTGATGAGAAAGTTTATGTTAAACAACCTTCTGGATTTGAAAACTCACAATTTCCTTACTATGTGTTTAAGTTGACTAAGGCTCTCTATCGGCTAAAACAAGCATATCGAGCTTGGTATGAAAGACTAAGCTCATTTTTGGTCAGTCATGGCTTCTCATGAGGTAAGATTGACACTACTCACTTTATCAAAAGGTCATCTTCGAGAAATGTCATTATTCAAATTTATGTTGATGGCATTATATTTGAAAGTGCTAATCTTGTTCTGTGTAAGGAATTCTAACATCTCATGCAAAGTGAGTCCGAAATGAGCATGATGGGAGAACTGACTTTCTTTCTTGGACTTCAAATTCATCAATCAGATGAAGGTACCTTTATTTGTTAGATAAAGTACACAAAGGAGTTGATATAAAATTTGGAATGAGCAATGCAAAGGCATTTGGAACTCCCATGAGTCTAGCTACATCTCTTGACAAAGATGAGGAAGGAAAACCAGTGGATGAATCAAAATATTGTGGAATGATTGGATCCCTACTTTATTTAACTGCTAGTTGCCCTGATTTAATATTTAATGTGTGCAGATGTGCCAGGTTTCAAGCAGCTCCCAAGGAGTCGCACTTAACAACAGTGAAGCAAATTATTAAATATCTCATTGGGACTACGCCACATGGTTTATGGTATCCACATCTTAAAATTTTTAAGCTTCAAGGTTTTTTAGATGCAGATCTTGCAGGAGATAAAGATGACAGGAAAAGCACAAGTGGAACTTGTCAACTACTTGGAAAATCGCTTATTTCCTTAGACAGTAAAAAAATAGGGATCAGTTGCATTATCTACACTGAGGTTGAATACATTTCCGTCGGACAATGTTGTGCTCAACTACTTTGGATGACTCACAAACTAAGTGACTATGATTTATCCTTTAAGCCTATTAAACTTTTTTGTGATAATGCTAGTGCCATCTGTCTATCAAAAAATCCAGTGCATCATTCTAGGAAAAAATATATAGATATCAAGCATCATTTTATTAGAGATCATGTTCTTAAGGGTGACATTGAATTATCGTTTGTTAGTACAGAAAATCAATTATATGATATTTTCACCAAGCCCCTTCTAGAGGACAGATTTCAAAACAATAGGGATTCACTTGGCATTATTACTTTTTCAAAATAATGCATTGGAATTTCAGTACTTTTTAAGATTGTGTGTTTTAATGATTTTGGTAAAAAATAGTGTATCTCATTATTATTGCATGTTGCATCAATTAAGCGCCTTCTTTTCACCTTTTTGGCTAATCTAGATGGAAACTGAATCAATTAGTCGTGTATGTTCCCTTTCCTTACCCCATCAGTCACGTTGGTTCAGGCCCGCCTTTTCATGAATCTCTTCATCTCTATAAGTCTGCCTCTTCTCTAAGCCTTCACTATGTAATCTCCTCTCTAACTCTCTAATGGCTAAAGCTCTGAAAAATTCTTTTGCCTCCACTCGCAAAAGCACCCAGTCCAAAGGGAAAATCCCCTCTCAGCCGTCAGAACCAGTTACCATTGGCTCTGACCTCTCTCAGGGTTCCTTATCTTCTCAAGAAAACCTCTCTGATGATGCTTGAACCTAAAATTCCCTAGGAAAGCGCCCCATTGAAGAAGGAGTAGAAGCTTTTACCCTAAAGAATGTGAAGATAGACTTGGACAATGTGTAGGAGTCATAGTTGAACTACTGGGATTCACTCAACAGAGACAAGTTCGTCACTTCCAAGGGAAAATCAATTGCTAATGGAAGAATTGTCAACCTGGAAGAGATGGAAGCCTTAAAGTGAAAGGTAAAAGATTTCTTTAGTTTTCAAGGATGAGAAAATTTCTTTGCTCTAACCCCTCCAAGAGTCTAAGACGATCTTGTTCGTATGTTCTATGAAAATCTTCATTCCCAAAAGTCTAATAAAATTGAATCACTTGTGCTAGGCCAGCGTATCATTCTAGACTCTTCTACTTTTGATTCTTTGTTTAAGTGTAAAAGTTCTGGTTACTCTACTTTGTCTAAAAACTCCTACCATGATGATTTTGAGGTGTCATTTGAACAAACCAAACAATACCTTGCTGATTCCTTGTCTGATCCTTTGCCAAATCAATTAGGACCTAGTGATATTAATTTTGAAATTTGTATTCTTGTCCACATTGTTACCACCACCATTCTCCCAGAACATGTTCCTACACCACTTTATCTCAAAGAAACAACTTCTTGGCCTACTGTCTTCTCACTAAGCACAAAGTGAAAATATCCTCCTGGATAATTAATTTTATGATTGAATATGATGAAGATCCATCGAGTCTTTGTTATGGAATGGTCATCTCTCACCTTCTCGAGGCATTTAATATCCCTCTCTCATACTATCCCTATGTGTCTGTTTTCAAGTGTTATAACAATATAGCAATTGTTAGCATGGATTATGTTGCTATGGATTGTACATGGATAAAGAAGCAGGAAATTGAAGCCAAAATGATTCCCTCCAGTTCCAAGGTAAAGGTTGATACTTCTCAGGCTACTGTCAACAACCTTGAATTGCTTGCAAAGATAGATGCACTTGATGAAAAGCTGACTACCATCAAAGATCTGCTCCTGACCACTCAATCCTTAGTTGGCAATATCTACGAAGTTGTCAAGGAAACATGATCTGACGTGTTCAAACTGGGAGTCATGGTTCTGAAAATCATAGAAAGGCAGAAAGCTTTCAGGGAAGTTGATGATCGTATTGATGGAATCTCAGTCACAATGAACGCAAACTTTGATCGCCTCAAAGAAGTTATCTGCAATGCCCTCACCTACTTTCTTCATCGATGATCTATGTTGGCTGCTTAGACAAAAAATTTTGGTTTCTATGGATATTTTATTTTGCTTTCATATTTTTGGATACTATCTGGATTATTGTAATTAAACTTACTATCTGCTAATCTTATCTGCTAGTAGTTAAACTTACTTAGCTCTCTTTTTGATTGATGCCAAAGGGGGAGAATAGGATACCACTTGCATACAGGAAAAATCATTAAGATTCAATTCGACTGATTGAACAAGAGTCAATTACTGGGCAACAGAATAAGGGGGAGTCGACCTAAATTACCTGACAACAAGTTGAGGGGGAGCCGACTAAAGACACAAAAATACATGACAGCGAGTTGAGGGAGAGCCGAGTAAAGACTCAACAAATAGGGAAGTAAAATGAATTAAGTTTTTTGTCATCATAAAAAATGGGGAGATTATTAGGCATATGTTTTAATGATAGATAATAACTTAATTATATTTGCAGGAAAACAATTCCAAAGAAGAAAGTCAGAAGAAATGGAAGAACATCAACAACAGAGGAGTCAAGATTGTATTGAAGATTTGAAAGCAAGAATCAAGGAATCAATTGTGCAAATCAAGATCCAGAAACAATGATCAAGGAATCAATAATAGACTCCAGTATAAGAATCAATTATGTTGTGATTACGAGTTTCATGGAAAATGAATATTTGGATACATCTATTTACGGAAGGCTCATCAATCAATCAGTGTAGAAAATCTACGGAGAATATTCAATCACACATCACGGAGAATATTCAATCACAATGGCTTACGGAAGAAAGAACTCACATAAGCAACTGACTAGTAAAGGAAGCTCCATATTATTCTTGGAAGAAATCAATCTTGATTAATCCTAAAGATCAACTCCCTTGGGTTACCCTCCATCTATGGATCTGTCACGCCTAGAAGTCTGGAGTCCAATTCATATATGTACATCAAGAGATAAAGGAAGGACATACTTTGATCGAACCACTATCAATCTTTTTGTTCTACTCCAAACAAGCATTGTAGTCTATTCTAGATTTACTGTGTAACTAGGGAAAGAAGAAAGATAGAATAATAACTGGTGAGGCATTGTATTGAGAAGAGAGTAAAGAACTAATCTAGTGACGAAGCTGTTGGTGTATAACAACACCAGCCAACATGTACCAAGAAACTTCAAATATATGAAAGTTGCAACCCGAAGGGACTGGACATAGGATTCATTCTGAATTTGAACCACTATAAATATCCTGTGTCATTTACTTTCAGCAATTTGCTTTTTTGTATCTTGTACATCTTAGATCAAGAATCTAGTCGACTAGAAAGCAAATTAGTTGTCTACCCAATAAAATAAAGAACCTCCCCTGCTCTTGCACTTTCAAAGATCCATTGTTGTTTATAACATATGGCCTTTTGATTCTTTATCAATCGTGCATCTCATGTGCTCTTGATTGTATTTGTTCTTTTTTTTCTGTTTGTCCATGGGTGACCAAAAAAGAAATACTACTATGAGATAGGAAAGAGTAGAAAGAATAAACGGACCTCTCTCTCTCTCTCTTTCTCTCTCTCTCTCTCTCTCTCTATATATATATATATATATATCACATTGTCCAGATTTGTATTTACTTTACCATATGAGCTGAATACTTGAATTGAAAGCATGCCTACTTTTNACATGCTTTCATCGCTAAAATTGAGGGAGCTCCATCTTTTATCATACCTTTTGTTTCAATAAAATGACATATTTCTTACTATTAATTATAAATATTTTAATTTAAATTTTTCATTTCAACTCGATGACATAATTTAATAGTACACAAACGTCATAATATATTTAATATCACAAGTTTGAAAAAGATATTATTCTTAAACTTTGTATCCAATAATTCAATCAAACACTTTCACAAATAAATCAGAGGAAATACAAAAGAGAAAAAGCTTGGACTTGAAGTGGCCAAATTGGAACTTAAAGAGTTCATGAGGTTGCGCATTAAACACAATAAAAAAATATTTTAACTATTATAAAATAAACATATCACAGCCTTTGTCCTTAATTACGGAAGTCGAACACATTTTCCTCTTCAAAAATAAATCGTACAACGAGTATAAATAACCCCATGTACAGTGTTCCCACGCGTGGCCACCATCCCTTGGTTGGAAATTGGATCAACATCAAATATTTTATAATTAGAGTCCAGAAACAAAGCATGGTTTTTTGTTTACTCAAAGCACAAAAATAGGTGAAAACCCCAATGGATGACCAATTTATATATAACGCATAGGTTGAATGTGCTATACCTTAACGACACATTTGTCCGTTAAGGTATAGCGCATGTAACCCATGCGCTATATTTGAATTTTACTGTCCCACCAATAATTGGTAGGTATATCGCATGCATTTATTGCGCTACATATATAGCGCGTATAATGAATGTGCTATACCCTCAATTATTCTATCCCGCATTGGTTTTTTACTTATTTAAGGAGTTTCATTGGTTCGTTAAAAATATTCAGGATCCTTCACGTCTTCAGCGTCCTTTTTTATTTTCTTTTACTCATTCCAAAATATTTGTTTACTTGACTTTTTCTGCATTTTGTCATAATGTCCGAAGAGCGAAAAAATAGGGTTGCATTATATTGGGGAGGAGGGAGTAAGGTTGTTGTGGAGAATAACTCACTACACTATAGTTTTTCTCCATAGTGTATTATTAAATTGCCGCATACAATGGAATACGATAGATTAGTTTCGTTAATATGTAAAAAAAGGGTGTGAGAAAATGTTCAATTAATATTAAAATAACCAAAAGATATCTGTATTCTGTTACTCCGCAAAAGAATTGCTTTTTAGGTTGAGTTTAACATTGAAGATGATAAAACTCTTGACAGATTTTTTGAGGACTGGAAACTTCTTATGATAAAAATGTTGGAAACGTATGTCAAATCTGAAGACGCTCGCAATATTAAGGTTCCACAAAATAGGGATAACCCTCAATCATCGGGTGATTTTTTGGAGCAGTTTTATCCGAACAGGTTCCGTTTGAAAGAGTTTGGCCAGATCTAAGCATATTTCCACTGGCGAATGAAGAGCGAGAATATAATTTCTTCCCAAGTTTACATAATCCACACACCGAGTGGTAAATTTCAATTTTTCTTTGTATTATTATATTTTTTTTATGTATTATATGTGTATTAACACTCATATAGTCTAAAGAGGGTACCGTCTAGGTATGAATTTTACAAGTTATGAACCAACGGACAGTTGGAATATGCCCAGTTTTGGCATTCTGGATCATGGTGGTCCATCCCGGAGTCATCAGCAACTCGATAATGTGCATCATAGGATATCAATAGTTTATGATTTGTAAGTTAAGAGATAAAGTTTATATATAATGTTTGGATGAACTTGAGAAACTTATAGTTTTATTGGTTGTGTAGTGAAAACAAGCAACTTGATGGTCCTGACCTTACTCAATTGTCCGAAGACGATATATTTAATCAGGATCTGGCAGATGCAGATAGTCAGGAAGATGATGGTGATTATGACAACAATATTTATGAGTCCGGACATGCCACACCCTTCCCTGATGAGGGTAATGATGATGAGAATGAGAATGATCAGCCTGATTTGCCAAGGGAGCATGATGCCACCAATGAGCATGCTCCATATATGCAAACTCCACCTCATGTTAGACCTAGAGTGTACGAGTCACATGTGCCCTTTCATTCAAGGGGGATTCCGTACCATGATCATTTGCCTAGTATGCCGGATGTACATGCCTTCACAAGGGATCTTGATGACATTCGAACAGTAATGTGGGATGAATCTAGACCAACGGTGCTGTCAAAGAATATGCTTTTTGCTGATAAAGCGCGCCTAAGCAGGGTGGTGCGAATGTACATCATAAAAGAGTGTCATGAGATCGAGGTTCATGAATCAACTCCAGAAGTATACAAGGTTATTTGTCGTAGATGGTTTCAAGGTTGTACATGGATGCTACGTGCGAGAAAGTTGAAAACAAATATGTGGATTTTAGGGAAATACATTAGCACACACACTTGTGTTATGGACACATTCAATGGGAATTATTTTAACTTAAATGTTGACTTGATTTCTCTTGTCTTGATTCCACACATTGAATCGTCCATAAGGTACAAGTTTAAAGAGTGTATAACATCTGTCCACAGGTATATAGATGTACCATTACCAAAAGAAAGGCATTTCTCGGGCGTAAACGTGCGTTTGGGATTGGTTATGGTAACTGGGATAAGTCATTAGCCGCTCTACCCAGGTACATGGTTGCATTGCAACACTTTAACCCTGGGATTGTTGTTGAGTAGAAGCTTGAGCGGAGTCCAGGAATATAAGAATTCATATTCAGATAGGTGTTCTGGGCATTTAAACTAGCCATTGTTGGTTTTGTGCACTATCGGCCAGTAATATCCATAGACGATGATAATTAGGGATTCTAGCCTATTTTATGCTCCTTCTTGCTTAGGTTTTGAATTAAAAGTGTGTACAAGTATTCTCGAAAGATAACTTATTGTGCTTGATTGCAGTGTGGTAAAAAAGAGACAAGGAAGTCATAACCAGCTCAAAAAAGGAGTGAAACCTGCAGAAGTTCAAAGGTAAGTCAAAAGAACGCTGACAACGAAGAAACGAACGCGGAGGGGGAGAGTCCACCACTGAGGCGGTCTTGATTTCGCTCTCAGCGGTGGAAAAGTTCAGAGAGTGTGTTTTAGGCTTAACAAATCACCGATGCTCGCAGTGAAATTGTGCAGCAGCGGTAGCTTTAGCGCGACAGCAGTCGAGTTACCACCCTCAGCGATAGTCAGAATCAGAGAGCCAGAAG